TGCGGGCCAACGAAGTGACAATCGACCTGAGAAAGAGTATATACCACTCAACACATCGCATGTTAACGTTCTGATGGCCATCAAAGATGAGAAAACTATTAAGTGGCCTCACCTACTAAAACCTAACTCGGGGAATAAAAAACAATACTGCCATTTTCATCGAAGTCATGGCCACACCACTAAGGCATGTAAGCAGCTTAAGGAAAAGACTGAAAAGTTGATTCGATGAGGATATCTTGGCTGATTTATGCAAAATAAACCAGTTAGTACCGATAATGCTCCCATTGAAGGCAACATACACAAAAGTAGCAAAATGGGGGTGACCCGGCCTGCAATTACACAATTATTTTTGTTTCGAAATATGACCAAAGTTTGACCACCCAATTTATATTAAGTGGCTAGTGTGCAAAATTAAATATTATATAAAGTTGATAAAATGATTTACACATTAGGGGTACAACACAAATATACGTATTGTTTCAAGTAATATAAGACTTTAATGGAGTCCTAAGTATCAATCCCACAAGGATAAAAAAAAACTCTTATAGGATGACTTTAGTAAAACTTTCTTTAAACTGTAGTTAACTTATATAGGAAATGATAAAAAGTTTTTGCATATTACCTAATCCTACATAATTAAAAGAAAGGCTAATTATGTTAAGCAAATGCAAAATGTAAATACAAGATAGTATAAAAAGGCTAAAATGTAAAGTTACCACTAAGCAATTCTAAACTAACAATGTATAGAAGAGTTCAAATTTATACAAAACATCCTTTCCCTTGCAATGAATTTATAATCAGTGTAGGAATCTAATAATTTTTAATATAATTAATGTATTGTGCGAAATAGAAGCATACATATTATTTACCCTCTCTCGAGTGTGTAAAGAACATTGGTTAATCCAAAGTTTAGTCCCTAAACTCGTGACTAGGCTGGGAAGATACTAGCTGCACTTTAGAGTTCCCACTTACCCCTCACCTGAAAGCTAACATCTCGCTTTAGTTTCCAAACATCTGGACCAAATTGAGAATTTTAGTCTGTCACTCTAAAATCTCCAATTTTATGTCCATCAAAAGTTATTTCTCTATTTATTTATACTAAACGTCATGTATTACATTCTCATCCATGAGACTAAATGTGATTCTTACTATGTTGAGAAAAGCATGGTCATTTTGGGTCACTATGTTTCACAACAGCTTTTAAAAGCATTTCTCACTAAACTTCATTCCTATGAGACTAAATGTGATTCTTACTATGTTGAGAAAATCATAGTCATTTTGGGTCACTATGTTTCACAATAGCTTTTAAAAGCATTTCTCACTAAACTTCATTGCTACATAATTATTCCTCATTACAGGGAGAAAGACAAAGGTAGCTATTTAGATCTCATGGGAAAGATACAACACATAAATTTATAGATAAATATAAGTTTACAAAACAAGACTAAGTAAAATAAACAAAATACACAACTTATCTTTTCCCAAGCAATCATTCTAGTTCCTTTGAATCACTCACTCTCCTTACAATTCCACTCCAATCTCACTTAGAACTGTAGTGAAAAAGATATCTCTCACTTCTCCTCTTCTCCTCTTCTCCTCTTCTCCTCCAAATCAAAGCAAGCCTCCAAAACTTTCTCCACTCTCCAAGAAAACTCTCTCTTCTTTAAGAAGACTCTCATTCACCCTTAAGAAACTCTTTTTTGAATCTCCAGAAGTCTCTTTAAATAGAGCTCTCAAATTCACCAAGAGCTACTTCAAGCGGTCCTTCAAAATTCGTTCACGTTCATTGAACCATCTAGAAAAATCGTCTCTGGCGTCTAGGCGTCAGGTCAACATTGGCCACATTGTTTTCTTGTACTCCAACTTGCTCTATTTTCGTTCTATTTGCTCCACTTGCTCCATTTAGTGTACCTACAACCAAAAACATCAAAAATATCTTTCATTAAAGCGTGATATCATTAAAAATAGGTATTAAATGTGCAAACAAAAATAACATATTTTAGGCATGTCAAAATTTTCCAAATTTAATTGTTATTTGTCCGCAAGTAACTTATTTCTTTTGAAAAATTAAATATGTTAACATGTGATGTGGGTTTCATTAAAGACCTCTACTGTTTTGTCCTATAAATGTGGTAGTTATGACTTTAGAAAAATCTTAGTAATTTAGGCTAGAAACAAGACAAGAATATTTTGTAATCAAGTACAGAAATTCTAATTTTATATTCATTTCAAAAATTAATTGTAGTTTGAAAAAGATAGGGGCCTTAGAAAAATAACATATAGAATTTGAGAGAACTATACTAGTAAAGGTAAACTAATACTTTTAGAAAATAAAAGCTTAGAATTGTAATAAAACCTCTTTAAGATGATTCAAGTAAAGTCAATTTTTAATTAGGCATCCCCTTAATTTTCTCCTCACTTTACATATAAGTTTTTTTTTCTTTTTCTTTTACTTTACTTTTAGGATCATTTTCAATCATTTACTTTCTTTTTCTCGGTAATGATTACTATATCTGAGTCAGCCTTTAATGATTTTGAACTTCACTATCAACTTCACTATCCTCCTCTTAAAACACTATCCTCCTCTTAAAATTAAAAACTCATCACATTTCTTTACCTTGATAATTTATTTTAGTTTTCAAAAATGATTTTTCATAGAGTCTCAGTTCTTTAAAGTACAAATCTAAGATCTTCAGTATTTCAAAAAGACAATATCTTTCCTACTTTAAATAGTAAAATTATATTCTTATTCTTTTGTACTTAATATCTTAATTCTTAGAACTAACCTTTATCACCAAAAAATTACTTAAGTCTACCACAACATCTACAACATCAAAAAACATATTGTTCTATAAAAATAACACCACATACCTCATATTATTTAAAAAAAAAATATTTTCTTTGAATATAGTTTCTTAAGGACAAATAAAATTAAGTGTTTCAAAATTCTTTCCCCCTCCCCGAGGTTAAGACATTTAGTACAGAAAATATAGAAACAGGAAGAAAAAATGATTTTCTAAAAAGGGTTTAACATGAAAGTATGCAGGTATTAAAATAGGTATATAACAACAATAGAGCTTAATTAACATGTATATAACAAAAAGAAATTGCTTAGTACATAAGTTCCCTAAACATAATAAACATACATAACAACAGTAGTGTAGCAACAACAAACATCAAACAATATAAACAAGCAATCAGTGATAGAACCAAATCAAAATAAATCCACAACATCCACTACTACACCAAAGAGTTCAAAACATCTAACAACTTTAATAAATACATATAAAGAAATATAACACAACAAACATAAACACTATTCCTCACTGTCATCTCCATTTGTCTCATCATCAGTCTTCTCATCCTTATCCATATAGTTCTGTGGTTAATAGTCCGAAAATGGAGGATTTGATGGAAACTGATCATGATCTCCCTGAAGAAAACTCATTAGAGATGTATTGAAACTCATATCATAATCATGTTTGAGTTTAAGTATTCTTGAGCATGATCAACCTTATTGTCGATATTAGTCACTTTACCTTAGAGATATGCAATATCATGCACCAGTGCCTGATAATCACTGTGAAAATCTTCCAGAGTGGCTGAAGATTGAGCAGCAGTACCAGAGGTCGAAGGTCTAGAAGTGGAGGTAGAAGGAATATCTGAACTTCCATCCCTAGATCTCAATCCAGCATGCAGTTCATAAACATGTACATTGGTCCTGCTAATTGGTTTAAGAGGCTGTAATAGTTCTTCCTAATTCTCATATCCTACTTCTGATTGCTTACATAAAATAAAAATCAGGGCAGGGTAACCTAAACCTATAGTGGTTCCACCTCTAGATGAAATAAGGATATTCTGATAAATTAGAGATCCAATATCTATAGTTCTCATTTGTTGAATACAAAAGTTCAATGATGCTCTCTCCTTAGTAACCTCACTAAGATGATTTGAAGGAAGAAGTCGTGCATTGGAGGGTGCATTTAACATTGGGGCGGAGAAGTTTACCTTATGGTCATTCTTAACTTTCCAAACTCCCCTACCATTAGTCAGAAATGAAATCACCTCATCCAACTGCGACTCAGTAGGCTCAAATGAAGAGTTATCACAGTTTGGAATATTTGGCAACTGGTACAGAGCATTGTTGCACTCAGGTGTAAATTCTACACTTCTTCCTCGAACAAATATATGATCATCAGAGGCTTCTCGAAGGTTGGCGTAAAATTAATGGACAATAGAGATAACAGTTACAATGGTGAAGTAGCAGAGGCTTTCCCAATGTCGGGTTATAATCAACCTTTTAATAGCTCCTCCGAGTTCGAAGAAAGCTCTCTATTGAATCAACTTTTTAGAAGTAAGAAGTTCATTGTATATATACTGAGCTTTCATATTGATGAATTTTTTAAAATCAAACAATTCTTTTCCATTCCCCCTCTTAGTTTTAGGAGTCATAATCTATAAAAATTCAAGAAAATTCCACATAAATTCTAAATAATATTCCAAAGCTCCTAACAACATTTTTCTAAGGTAAGATTCCTTCCACCATGGATTCTTCATTCATTTCTTCCTTAAATCCAAAATTTCAGCACTTGAGCAATGTGAGATGAATCCATGATGAAAATAAAAAATTTTTGCATTAAAGTGAAGCTTTTACCTTAAGGAGATGAAATCCAAATTTTCCAAGCAAGAAATTTCCCTAAAGACCAAGATTTGAGAAGCCGTAAGAAAGTCCAACACTCTATTTCATGAAAACCAGAAGGAAGAAGATGATGGTTTAGGAGAAAATCAGGTTTTTAAGCCGAATTCGTCGATTCAACTGAACCGGCGCTTAGACGCCAAGTTCTGACACCTAAGCGCTAGGTTCTGAGGTTTCTGGCGTCTAGCCGCCAATGCCCAGATTTTCATATTTTTTTCTTTTTATAAAATTTTAACAACACTGGCGTCTAGCCGCCAATGCCCAGATTTTCATATTGTTTTCTTTTTATAAAATTTTAACAACAAGCACTGCACACCAAGGCACTACGAACACTAGTAAGCTTAATTCAACATATTTAAACATCTTCCAACATATAATTTTAACAAACACCAACAATCACTTTTATTCAAACATAAATCTAATCCCCATTCAAACACACATTATAATTCACTCACAACCTTTAAAACATAACTTCTAACTTCACACAAAAACTACTAAGCACACGACTCAAAATATTAGAAAGCCTACAAGCACACATTAGAGCTAATACTCCACGGAACCAAGAACTTACAAGCACACATCAAAGCTATTACGAAAAATCCACTACATATTATCATCAACCTCACTATCCACTTCTCCAATATCACCAATTGACTGATGAACGTACAAGTTGTAGAAGGGATAGTTCGGAAACTCCTCGGAATCTTTCTCGATCCAACAATTCTTGTTGTACATTTGGACCTGTGCATCATGGAGTACAACAACATGATCTGATTGTTGTTTCATCTGCCAATCCAGATGATCAAACTGATCAGTGATGTTACTGATCCCGTTGTGAATCACTGATATCTCTTTTTTTTATCTTTTCTATTTCCTCCAAGATAATAATAAAAAATCTGCACGTTGAGGTCGTGATGTTGTGGAAGGGCGAGAAGACTAATCCATATAAGAACTTCCTCTGTGTGCTGCAAAAAGATCAATGTTGTCACACATTAATATAGACTGATCCATGGGCTTCCAGGGAAGAAGTACATTTTCTTAACTTTCATAAGGGACCTGGGCATTCTGGCTTTAAGCCAAAAGTTCCCCCATCAGTCTTCAATTCATGTTTAGTTGTGCCTCAAACAATTTTCATGGAAGGTATTGGCCAACATTTTTTTCGCTCTCGAGCATTGATTTGATATTCCTTCACACATTATATTAAAAAAAAAATTGCTTATAAACAATTAAAGCGTGAGAAACCAACATATTAATTATTCCATAAACTAATAACCACAAAGAGCAACTCCTAATAACAAGACATTAAGCAGGATCAACACATCGAACACTATCCCATGACGCCCTTATAGAAATGAAGCTTGCAGCTTTGCAAAGCGTCAAAACCAAATGTTAGCTACCGCATAACATCTATAGATAGCCATTCAATAGTTCTAAACTTGTTCCAGATAGTTTAGGATCTTCAAAAAACAGGACTAAATACACCAGCAAGTAGTCGCCAATTTGAGAATCTGAAGTTCATTATGGCTACTTCACTCTAGTGTCACACATCATAATTGTAGTCATTTAATATATAACTGTAAGAGATTTCATATAGAATAAACAATACTTTAATGTTACTTTACAGATAAAATAAACAAGTTATGAGGACGCCAATGTCCTCATTTAAACAACATAAATCAATAAAAATATCACCTAATAATTAATAAAATATAACTTGCACAAGAGATGAATATTAAAAAGAAAATGATTGCAATTAGATAGAAAAGGCAACCTCAAACCCAACTTTGAGGCTTTCAATGCTCCATGCAGTATGAACATCCCTAATTTTTTTTTTTAGTAAAAGAATTATGCTATGAAGTTTCAATTTAAGCCTGAAAATGAAACATTGACTTCGATGCAAAACTATGTTTTAATTAACATGTAGTTGTACATAGCATTTAGTTTGGGCAGCATATTTAATAATATGATATGTATCAAAATACATCACCTCTACATGAACTTCTACTTCAAGATTTTGCTGCAGGCGAAATGCCGAACTTGGCTTGATTTGCTGCGGCTCTCAACTTAACCATACAATACAAAGAATAAACCACTACAAACTAGAAGTAGAAATTTTGAAAGAAAATGAAATGAAAAAATCACAGACAATGATTCAAACTTGCTCTGATAAACATGTACAAAGAGATCTAAATGCAGAGAGTTAGATATTTTATCAAAAAGGAACAAAATTAGAAATATATACCTGGTGTAGCACAATGTGAATAACCTGCAGGTAAAATTACAAGGATAAGAATAGAAATTATGGTTTATGATAAAATAGTAATAAAAGTAGCTGTTTCTTGTTAGTAGAGATATTGAACAGATCCAACGCCGATAGAGAACCAGATGGCAAATTACATCAATACACAGAATGATAAATCTAAATGTTTTTGCTAAGAAAATAAACTATGCATCAAAAGACAATACATGGAGACGAAGAATAAATCAATAAGATGTGAGAGAGAATTGCGAGGTTCCAACCTGAATCAAACTGCTCGAATGAGGTAAATAGAAAGTAACAAATCTGCCAAGAATGTGCAAGAACTTTTAGCAAAACACACGACTTATATGTAACTATTTTAATCAAATCATCAACATGGATTAAAGATCTTAATTTAACCATGTTTTTATAAAGTTTATAAATAAAAAAAAAACAAAACTTTCATGTGCAAGAATCATCCCTCATAACAAACAAAACTTACCACAGAGTTTTAATTGCCATAAAAAGAATTTTGAGCTCAGAAGTAGCAAACTACCACCATTATGGCTGAAAATTTTAGAATTTATAAATAAAAAAAAAAACAATTGTTTTTGCTAAGGAGTTCAGAACTATCATATAAGCAAAAAAACAGCCGGTGGTAACAAGAAGTTATTAAGTTTGTGATGGAACAGTGATAAAATTTTGAGAAAAATTAAATGAAGATGAAGACTTAACACACCAAACATCAACAAAAATTATGCTCTGGTGTACACCATATGCTCCTCGTTCTCTATTCAACTGTAAATCGTAGAAAAATGCTTATATGATGTTAAAGTCTTGTCCAATTCATATTCTGAAAATATTGCTCCTAACATTTATTTTTTATTTTAAATAACTAGCATGAAGTCGTGCCTCCGTAAAAGATGGAAGGCAGTTATGTAGTTAGTTTAATATCTGAAGCCACTTCATGTGTTCGTAATGCAATTAATGAAATTTAGGGTCATACCAAAAAAAAAAGTATAGGAACAGCCAAATCCTAGCCAGCAGTATAATAAAGAAAAGGAAACAAAGTATATAAATCAGCAAATACTCTTACACTGTCTCCCATTCCTGTTCTCTATCTTCCCTTCCAAAAATGACAACCACAAGAAGCTCTAAAAGCAAACCTGTTAGTAGGAACATGACTTATTTCTATTGCAGAAAGTAAGAGCAGATTAAGCAAGATTATATGACTTCAAAATAAATATATATTAAAAAACTGGTAGGTTATAACCATAAGGAAGATAAAAGTACAAATAAAAACACGACTAACAGATTTTGGTAATGTTCTTTACATGACTATCTGTTGCACGCTCAATGATCAATGGATGTTTAGTTGTTTTTTTCATGCAAGTCATGGTAGGTATATGTATGTGGGAAACAATGGTGTGTGCATAATTGCAAGTCTGGACACTAATTATATTAATTTCTATAATTATATATCTTATGATTTTAGCTGGGGTGAAATACATATCATGGTAAATGTTACAATGTTTAGATGCATTAAATGATATAAGTACATCTTTTATACAGAAGCTAAAATATTCAAGGTTTATAAAAGTTTGATTGTCATAGTCCATGAAATTCAGATGATTCTATATCGTGTTGGTTGCAACTTCTTGGGATGCTTCGATTAATTCTTGCATACATTGGTACGTCATGTTTTGGGGAAACAAAGGAGAGTTAACTTACTCTAAAATAAATTTAGATGTGAGATGATGGAAGGATTTTAAATGATAAAATGAATCATGTTTGCATCATATAGTCTATCCTGATGCCAAGTCAGATCATATCATTACAACATTCTGGACAAAGAAATACCCAATGAATAAGAGAATTCAGAGGCATGCACATGTTTAGGTTCAATCGAACTACTTCATAGAATAACATTGGAAATGAGACTCCAATCAGCAAACAAATCACGGGTAATACAGCTTAAAAATGAGCTACATCATATTACCATGGGCACCATCACCATATCATGATATCTAACCACAGTAAAGACACTGGTAGACAATAGAATGAGGATATTATCCTCTACATTCTCAATGGACTACCACAAAGCTACCGAACCTTTAAAACAGCCATGCACACACAACTCAACCTTTGAGCCTTAGGACATCTATTCATTACTTCACAATGAAGAGTGAAACATTGCAGCCGAACTAGCAAAACAACAACCAGCAATAGCCCTTCTCACCAACAAAAACAAAGAATACCAATACCAAAACAAGCACAAAAACAAAATTTACCCACCAATCAGAAATCCACACACACAAAAACAACAAACACAAGACAACCACCATATGTATGTCAAATGTCTCAAAATTGATCATTCAGCTGCGAAATGTTGGCACATAACCAACCTCCAATACAAAATCAACGCCAATCCCGAGTGTTAGGTTTCCAAGTGCTTGGGTCAAGAGAATGATCCGGGAGTGATTGCGCTCCTCCTGGGTGTTGCATTACCCCGCTCACTAATCTGGAAAGCTTTGTTGGGCGCTTAGGTGCTACATCAGGCACCAGTGATACAATATGTAAGTTCTTCTCCTGAATATTTTAATAAAATGTATCATTTACAAACTTATTTAGTTCACAACATTTTAAGTAATCTGAAACTAATTTAAATTTAGAATAAAACTAACTTAAAATAATTCAAAATTAATTTTAAATCTTTAAAAATAACTTTATATATATATATATATATATATATATTAAAAAACAACTTAAAGATAATTTAGACATTTTTATACGATAAACTTAAAAAAATTTAAAATAATTTAAAGCATCTTAAAACACTAAAATCAAACATTTAAATTAAAATATTTTAAACTAAAACGCCTAAATAGTTTAAACAACTAAGCCAAAAACTTAAAATAAAATGAAACACTGAAATATCAACACTTAATTTAAATCAAATAAAATAAATTTAAAACTCAAATGAAATAACTAAAGATAACATTAAACGACTTGAACTACAAAATCTAAAACATATAAGACATTTAAATTAAATAACCTAAAATAAAGAAAATGCGTAAACTAAATAACTTAAGTTAACTAAAAGAATTGAACTAGGTAACTTAAAGAAAACTAAAATGCTTGAACTAAATAACTTAAGATAACTAAAACACTTGAACTAAATAACCTAAGATAACTAAGATACCAAAAATGGCTAAGATATTTAATTTCACATGTCAAGACACCTAAACCAATAACTTAAAAGATATAAAATTCTTAAAACTTAAAGTAACTTAAAATCTTTAAACCATCTAAGAATTTAAAAGAAATTGAATTCTATAAGTTGGCAAATGACATACAAGATTTTACACTAAGAGCCGAATCTAAGGACAAAACTGAATAAAGGACACCAACCTTGAAAACTAATTGCAAAAACTTAAAACCTAGAAGAACTTTGATTTTTACTATGACTGAAAAAGTAGGAATTGAAACAAATCACAAATTAAATATCAAATCCCAAAACAAACTAAATCATGAAAATCTAATATATGTAGATTAACCTTGAGATCCTAGGTTAGCAAACATAGAAAAAAATTGAGAGTCGCACGTATCCTAGATTAGTTCAATCTAGAAGCCTATGTTAGTATACTAGATCCTTGTAGTTAGTACTAAGGACAATGAAATATAAAATAAAGTGACCCATGGTTACTAACGAATCCACCACTAACCACCTTAAGCTAAAAAAATACTCCATTTTTCACACTATGATGCTAAAGTTATAAGGTTTGTTCATAGTTGAAGGATACCAACACTCTCAAAATGATGAAAAGCCAAAAGTATCCTGACCGAGGGTGTTATTTCCAAATTTTAGATTAGTCCACCCATCTAAGCTCCTTGTAGAGTCTAGGCTAGCTAAGATTTTAACCTCCATCAAAAAATCTTTCCGACCCAACTTTACCCTTTAGTTTAGGGAGCTCTTCCAACTCAAGCGACTCAAAGACCAAAATTTCAAATCAATCTTCCCAATCCAAATCTCCAAACTTAAAGTTTTCAATTAATTAAACTAATCTAACCAATTTCAAACTCTCTTGATTACCCTTTGATTTTAATTCAAAGATCTTCAACCAAGATCAAATTTAAGTCTTCTGGTAAGCCGTCCTCCCTGAGATGGTCGAATCGTTCCTCCTAGACCTTTCCATGACACACCGTCATTCGATTGTAAGTTCAACCTCTAAGCTTAATTCTTCTGAAATTTTAAATTTGGTTCAATTGATGACCCCTTGAAATCTCAACTTCGAAAAGTTTAACCTTAAAATTTAAGTAACATAAGTCAATATTTTAATCTAGAGTTTTCTCTGAAGTTCACAGCTCTGGAGATATAATGAGCTATGAGAATTTGGCCTTGTATGGATAGCATACCCAAGAATAAAATAAACTTTATCTTACACCTGTAAAGTAAGGAAAAATCTAGTTCACATAGTCTCATAATCTTAAAGATTTTATCATCTGAATGATTAAATTCATTTATAAGATAATATTTCTTCCCCTTATGGAGGCATATTATTTCTTTAAATGTCGTATCAGATCATTTATATAGAATATTTTAAGGTCTATGATCAACAGACATCAACGCAAAAAAAAAATAATTCCACAATTTGGTTCACCACTATTAATTAGCAAAATAGAGCAAAAAAAAACCATTTTATCGGTCGTATGAATCTACTGGGTCTTTTGACCTCCGCAACTTGTGTCTAAGAAATTTTTTTTTGTGCTTCATCAAATTGAGCACATTTAATTTCTTCGTCTTCCTGATCACTATTATCTTTTATTTCAATATATTTGGAGGGTTCCTCCAAAGTAACAGATCAGCAATCTTGAGTTGGGTCTCTGTCTTTACACAACTCCATTTCATTGAAGTGCACAGAAGCGCATCAGAGGCACATTGAATATGCATGATAGTTCGATAGTGATCAATATTCTCATCAGTTATACCTTTGTAGTTGTCGATGTCTGGAAGCTTTAACCTGTTAGGATGAGGTATTGGAGGACCACATTCGCTAAGGAAGAAGATTCATGGACGTTACAATGAGTGCAGAAGCGATCATTTTTCTTTAGGGCGAAATTTTCACGGATGAGGCATTGTAGCTCGGTGTGAATGACATCATCTAGACATCGTAACTGCTCCCTGGAACGATGGTTGTTGGAGTGGGATGCTCCGTTGTCACGAATATTGTGTTTGGTGACCATATAGTAAGTCTCGCAAGTTTTTCAGTTGTGGGATTGAAGTTCCCACATATGACGCCAAACTAATGCGTGCTAAAACATTAGTAGCAGTAGAGTAGTAGATTATCATTTTAGCATGATACGAAATATTCATTACACACTCATAAAAGAAAAAACAACTAATAATAATACCAGAAGTTCTTAAATGGAAAACTCGAAAAGAGAAAAACGATGTCGTCTAACCAAACTGAGAGTTTCACTATAAAAAGATGATTACAGTTGCAACCACTTATCCCACAGGCGGGAAAGGGTTACTAGGTTTCCCATGTTACAATGCCGAAGTTCTGATGAATTGTTACTAGGAACGGGTGACGACCGATAGCGATTGGTGGCTCCCGATTGGTGGTGGTCGACGGTGGTTAGCGGTGATCGACGACAATCGGTGGTGGTCGATGGTGGTTAGCAATGATAAGTTGCAGTGAACGGTAGTCGATAGTGATCGGCAAAAGTCGACGACGGTCAGTGGTGGTCAACGGAGGTCAGTGGCGGTCGACGACGGTCGGTGTGTGGTGGTGTTAGACTTTAGCTTCTTCTTCAAGTTTCAAGCTCTTCTTCATGCTTCAAGCTCTCCCCCTCTCATGAGAGGGGTGGGGCTCTATTTATAGTGTTCTGGTTGTAATTAATGCATGACTATGAACCACTTTGATCACATTAAAATATGATGGATATTGGATAGAAGCTAAGAATCAACCAAGAATGAGATACGATGGAGGGAAGCTGAAAACGATTACAATTTAAAAGGATAAGGAGAATTTACAGATGCTAAAGAGATTGATGTGATATGTCTTTAGCTTAAAGGATATGCATTTGAGTTGTGTTATCATAAAAGCGAAACATTGCCCGAAGAATACATTCATATTGCCAGTGACACTGAAGTTATGAAAAT